TGTGTTCGCATGAGTAAAGAAATCACAGAAGAAAAACTTAATACAATTGCGCGTGTGTGAATGCTCACTGGCGCCTATCGCGTACGCGGAGATACGTTTCTATTGGCGGAGACAGGTCGCTCATTCACACATGCGCACTGCATGAAACTTTGCCTCTGTGCTGTACCTTCTTTACTCATGTGATTGTATTATTATGTACGCCATTTCTACTTGTCAATTTATCTCGTGGTCTTTGCACACAGACAGTGATGGGATAACGCATTGTCGAAGCTAAAATGTTTTTAAAACATTTTAGGTTTAACCTTATTAGCTGTTTACACGACTAGATTTCACTTAATCCCATAGGGTAATAGTGTGTCATATAATTATGCATATAATGAATAAGATTAGTGTATGCAATGTTAAATATATAAGCATGTTATGATTATAAAAACACGAGTGATGAATTTAAAGAAGATTAAAGGACAAGATTATGTCAATATTTTTTCTTTGCCAGATTGAACAAAACCTAAAGACATTCTAAGTTGTTTTAAATTAGTTTGTTGTATGCTGCGGAGGTATGATTCTGAACTCACTACCCAGATACATCTCGATACCGATCGTATGTTACACCATGTATTGATTTTTGTGCAGAAATTGTATTTTAATTCCAGCGAAAGTTGCTTCTGGACTTTTTTTTTCATAGAATGAAAGCCTTTAAATAAATAAAAAAACGAAACTAAAGTAAACTTTTATTAATTAAATATTCACAGAAATTAGAAGACAAATGTAGAACATTACAATTTCTTTCAGAGGTTTTGGATTTAAGGTCAATCCTTTAAATGTTAAGTTTATTGGCATCAAACTACTGTTATTTAAATGAGGTAGTTCCACTACTAAATTCAAGAAATAATGTTTCAATTGGACTATTAATCTTTAAACGCTTCAACTTAACCGTTCTGCCTTTAAATCCAGTCCGGTCACTTAAACACTTATAAAGCATTGTGCTGGCATTTAATTAACCCACGCAAGATTTACTGCAGTCACCCGGCGGACTGTCACCAATGATATAGAGGGGCCCAAAGGACCAGTTTCTTAAAATCGATTTTATATTGCGAGTTAATTGACCCCGGGCAATGAATAAACGGTTTATTTTCGATATAGTATCGTTAATTATGGCTATATGTTTGATTGAAAGTTGCGTCCGCAACATAAAATATTATCATTGTGTTCGTAAAGATCATTTTTGCATCAACACTGTGCTGTTGTTTATTGTTATCAGTGGTTGCTTGCAGGCAATTCCTACCTAATGGTTTAAGACAAGCGAAAAATATATTGGTGAATCGAATGGTACACAGTTTAAAAATCTTAGCTTTTATGACTGTAGGCAGGTCAGGTACTAAATATAATTGTTGAATGGCAAAATTTTTTACACAAAAGCTCTTAATCATAACGAATCTCATAAAATGAAACCAGTAGCTGGCCGATTAATCTTATACTCTTCAAACTAAGCTGTGATTATGCTAGGGTTGGCACTTCTTAGATATGATAAGTTATATCAATTGGAAAAATTAAATGTATTATAACTAATTCAACAATCTAAGAATTTACATTTGGACGCAATTATTTCTGGTATCCTATAAAATTATAAATAATTTTGGCGGGATTTGGCGCAATTAGAAAGGTCATAATGGCATGAAATACTATGTTATTAAACAACAATGACATTTTATTTACAAAATTCTGTTCAAATTTATCTAATCACAAAAGTAAGACTTAGCTGATACCTAATGCAATATCTGCATTTTCTTTAACAAACGGAGGTGATGATAGGAAGATAAAATGAAAATCATTTTATCTTTTCTTATGAAGAATTAAATGTTATTTTCTAAGAAAAATGGCTACGTTGCATCTGTTGTCGAGACCACCCGGAGTCTAGATGTGATATAGTTTGTGAGTGATACCTAATATTTTATGCATCAGTTATTTTTGTCAGTCTGTCTGTATCTTATACCCCCTGCCCCGTGGAATTCTTGCAAAGCTATTCTCATATTAGGACATTTTCAAAAGATAAAATAATTGAACTAAATGACTCAATAAATGACCACTAAAATTTTCAAATGTCATATCGTAAATTGGCCACTTGTTATCGTGTCGAAGCTTTCACAACCCTACGTATATGACCGTTTTATATGTTAATTGAGGTCTAAAGAGCTTCGCCATCGGGAGTCAATCATAAAATCATCATTTCCGATTGGTTTCGTAGTTTCGTAATGGTCATGTGGCTATCATTTGATTGGAACGTTAAGAGATTTAGACATTATGTAGATAGAATTTCGCTTAATGAAAAATATGTGTTTAGTAACAGAACGATTGTCGCTTCGTCGATCTAATGTGAGCTATAGATAGACCTATAGTGTAAATTGTAAAGGTTTATTTGTTATTTTTTACTGGGCGGTCGCCCGCGACTTCATCCGCGTCAACTTTAGTTTTGGAGGAACCTAACAGTTTTTCGAGATAAAAAATATCCTTTGTCTTATTCCAGGTTAAAAACTATATGTGTACCACATCCACATTCGTTCATCCGTTTTTGCGTGATTGAGTAACAAACAAACTCAATTTTGCATTTAAAATCCTCATCAGCCAATTAATATCCCCGCTGCTGGGGCACAGGCCTTCCCTATGGGGAGATTGGGCCATGACCCACCACGCGGGCCCAGTGCAGATCGGCGGATGCTAACGACTGCAGATGCAGCCGGTACCAAGGGCTTAACGTGCCTTCCGAAGCACGGTGGAACTCGAGATAGATGATTTTTGGTCACCCATCCAATGACCGACCACTGCGAAAGTTGCTTAACTTCTACGATCGCAGCCGAACGCGCTAAGCACTCGCGCCATCGTTTACCTCACAAAGCACGCTGGGACTTCACTGTCACTTAATATCAGGTGGTGGGGCATTTGTCGGACCTATTTATAAAAAAAAGTTTCAAGTTTTCCTTGAAGTCAACGTATCAAGTTTTTCTCAATACTTAAGACTACATATTTGTAAAATACATTAAGATAAAACGCTTGGTATTTGAATTCGCATTAAATTCATAATACAGTTTTAAAGTATGCTTACTTTATATGCTCTTAATACTTCCATATACAAGCCTAAGATACTTTCGTTACTTATGCTTTCTACGCCAAACATTTTGATAGTAATCTACCCTCCATCTACCTACAAATTTCAAGTTTTCATCGTTAAATATGAGAAATACGAACTCCAGAAATTAATACCTGATTCATTAAATTTTCTACTAATAAATACTTAATTTAATAACATCACATTCTATCAAATTCTATATGTATACGTAACTAACTTCATTACGTTAATTTTCCTGTCTCGTCTATCCCGGTTTCTCGTCATCCAATTTGTACGCAAGTGTGAACCGGCCCAATGTAAGGCGGCACACACACGCACCGTAATTAAAGAGGCCACGGAATGATAAATAACGAACTGTCCGAGTTTTTGCCGCTGATGTCATTATCTCAACCGACTCTATCAGACGTCGGGAGATTACGGTGAAGGGAATCCTGTGGAGCTGTTACAACCCCCACTAGTTATTTCCTTAAGGTGGACAAAATCTGTAAAAAGTCTGCAAAATATAAATATAATAACTTTACATTTTTTTGGATTCAGAGGCATAAAGTCTGTGAATATTGTTTTAAATAAAAACCTATCGTCTTTTAGTGCAACACTGAGTAAAGTCATATTGATAGTCAGTTTTTGTATTGCGTAATATGGTAAGGTTTCAATATCTTTAAGTTAAGTAAAATTATATGTTTTATTATGAATATATATATATATATCACTATTGTTACTATAATTAATACAATTCCAAATCGCACTCATCGATACAAAATAAACTTACACTTCATCGACTGCCAGTCGAAGATTTAAAGTACTTAATAAAATACGTAGTTATACCTTCATTTTAGGAGACAATCAATATTTATGTGTTTAATGGTAATGATAGTCCATATCTACATGTAGTTAAGACATTCGCTTGTCTTCACTTTTTTCACAAAAGCTGCATTATTTCATGGTGGTATTAACAGCTCCACACGTACGACACCAATCGTGTGACAGCGTAGCGCATGAATAATCGAGAGGTCCGAGTTGATGAGAGTGCGTAAGAGCTTTTTTGCTGCGCCCAAGCGAGCGAACGAGCGAAAAAAGCAAACAAATAATTAAGCGGAAAAAATGTCGTATTGCTTGTTAATTTTTAGAAGTCACTCGTGATATTTGTGACTGTGGGATGTTCGGTGCGAGCATTTCGACTCTAAATTACATTGTATATTTTGGTTTTCGGTTTATCAATGTGTGTGTGTATAAATGGGTGTTCAAGCAATTTTTCTACACATAATTCAACTCAGTCCAGGTGTCAGGCTGCAATGGACTCAGCATCCTTTGCTTCAAAGGTCAATGCACTGATCACTATGTTACCAGGAATTTCATTTAGTATATCTTTGGTTGCAAGGCAAGACCTTACTTACTTGTTATTTGTTATGGGCCCCCGTTTCCGCGCGTAAACTCCATAGTTGGTCTATTGTGCTTGCAGGGTTGAATGGGATAGCTAGTACAGCCAGCCGAGCTCCTTGATCCATTGATGTTCTGCTCCGCTCATGCATTCAAGGATCACATGAGCGGCCGCTTTAGCCAGCGAGGTGAGGATGGTTGGTGTGGCATTTTATAACTGCTGCACAGCTATTTTCGCGTCTGGACTTTACCACCACTCAATATCAGGTGGGATAGATGCAAGGGCATAAATATAGAAAAGGCCCTTTTTTAATAATCAAGCATCCAGAACAAGTTCTCTTTTTGAATGCTTGGTAACTGGGTTGAGTTGAACTTATTCGAGTAAAAAAATTCATTATAACTAACTATAAAAACTACTAATTATAAATTTGTTTCAAAAAATATTTTGCAAATGGAATGGAGTCGCAATTATAAACGCATTACTTATTTTTGTTTGCAGGCATGGACGGAGTTGTGACAGAGGTACCGATATTGATGCAGTGAATGTGGTAAGATAAGTTTATTTTAATGACGTCTTGTTAAATTTCAAAAAGGAATTAACTAAACATTCATAAAAAAATATATATAAAAAAAAACCATGTACCTACAGGTATACACCTAAACCGATCATCATATGATGTTTTTGTATGTCTCACGTAAATAAGTAAGTAGTGAATTACACAGATGTTGTAAATACAAACCCGAACTTGCAAAACTATAAATTAGACATGTATTTTTCGTATTTTTTTTTATAATACGACAGGCTTCATTTATACGAGAGTAACAGGTACATTAAGTAATAAAGAATTATAATAGAATATAATCCTACTATCCAAATAATATTATAATCCTACAATACAATACAATACAATACACAATACTTTATTGAAAACACCACAACACAGAACAGAAATGAGGGAAATTACAATTGTAAAAAAAGTGCTTCAGTGGGCGGTCTTATCGCTAAAAGCGATTTCTTCCAGACAACCTTTTCCTGCTACTATTCTTACTAAATTAATATTATAAATGGGAAAGTTTATATGTTTTTTTTTTATATCACGCAAAAACTACTGAAGGGATTTGGATGAAATTTGGTATGCATATAGTTTAGGACCTGGATTGAGACAAAGGATACTTTTTATTTCGGAAAAGTGTTAGATTCCCGAGGGATTTGAAGAAAAATTAAAGTTTACGCCGACTAATTCGCGTGCGGCTGCTAGTGCATAAATAAAACTTACACCCCCTGATTAATAAACGAGGATTACGCATGGATTAGTTGCTCCATATTTTGTCTCTGTCTATTTACAAATAGCATGAACAAAACCCGGGTTAACTAGTTTAAACTTATTCCTTGTTTATTAATAAGGGGGACAATGATTAAGCAAAGCCATACAAAAGACTTGAATAGCTGACAGACACAAGAAATCATGGCTGCAAAGAAAATATAACGACTGAAATGAAAGTAAGACGCAAGAAGTGCTCGTCTGCTCAAGTGTTCGGTCTCCGATTGTGGAACTTAAGTAACTTTCGAAACGGTCGATTTCAGGATGGTTGTCCAAATATTAATCTCTCTCACGCTTCAGAAGGTTTGTGAAGTCGTTACTCCTAGTTGCAGTATGTATGTAAGGTAATGGCCGAAACTTCATACTTCTGAAAGTACCATAAAATTGTGGACGGGCGTTCAGTTTCACAAAAATGATAATGGGTAGCTCGATGGCGCAGGTGGTTAGCGCATTCGGCCTGTGATCGTGAAAGTTAAACGTCGTAGTGGTCGGTCATTGGATGGGTGGCTAATAACTTTTCTCGAGATCCTCCATACTTCGTAAGGCAGGCTAAACCGTTGGTCCCGGGTGCATTTGCAGTCGTCATTGGTCGCGTCATGTAAAAAGTAAAAGGCGTCATGTAAAAAGTAAAAGGCGTCATCTAAAAAAGCTGATAGGCTTCACAGTAGGCTAATACGCTCCCACTGTACTTTTTCCAGCGATGTTGTTAGATGACGCGATCTCTAGAATCCCCCAATTTGCACTGGGCCAGCGCGGTAGGTCATGACCCAGTCTCCCTATTCCATCAGTACTCTATAGGGAAGGCCTGCGCTTCAGCAGTGGGGACATTATGGGAATAGGCTGATGATGACTGACTCCTTGCAAAGAGTTTTACATGCTCAACACTCCTATTATATAAAAATATAAATTATCACATTTGGCAAGTCGTCACTTCGAGCATTACTACACCCACTCAACTCAATACTCAATTACTGCACACCTGCCGTAAAATAATACTCGCATGGGCATTAAAAGTGATGGATTGACCACGTTAAAGTTTTACTTACGCCTATCAAGTTACCGTGAAGATACGATATCTAGACAATGCCAAGTGTTTTTAAAGTAATTGACAATAATTAATTATTTATAATGCAATGTAATTTTGATTAATTTATTTAAAGTGCGCATGTAGAATTACCAAGTGGACACGATTAAATGTAATGACATTCTCTCAGTTTGTCATGCACCAAAGTTATATTTAGAGTTGGTCATGCTTTGTGAAGTATTATTTTAACAAAGTCATTAATCTTCTAGACCAAAGTTTAAGGGTGTAGGTTTTATGGCTGCGCTCAGATGAGGCAATTAAACTTTTAGATACAAAACTAAAATTGATGATGTCACTTTCTTTGCAATAAAAAATTGAATGAGGCATTAAGTGATTTCATAAAGTATTTGTTTCTTAGGTTTTCACGCACATCACTCATTAAGTAAAACTAGTTTTAACGGGTTAATGCACGAAACTTTATTTTTTTATTGACGTTTCTGACGATGCAGGCTGCGAAACGTCAATAAATAAAGTATTGTGCATTAACCCGATTTCGTTTCCAAGGCTTCACAGGGTATGGGATCGGGTGAGACTAGACAAAGAACGCAGGAACTAGCGTTTAATGGAGCGATTACCCTTTTTGTTTTAATCTAAGGGCGATTATTCTAGCCCGAATACGAGTGCCAATTGGGTTAAACGACTAAGTGTAAATGAACGGAGTCGAGTACGCCCATATTCGGGTTAGATTTCCTTTTCTTTACCCGACACTGTCTTCCAGCCATATTCCAATGTAAAAATTTCTTCAGATGCCCGAATTCGAGTAATGTCTTTCGTGCACCCGAAAACGGACAAACGACCAAATATATTTGCGGCATAACATATTCGTTAATTTTATAATTGCATGAGTTACCATGCTAACCACAACTTGTCAACGCCAGTTTTCACTTTTTTTATAGATACTCGTAAATCCTACAAATGACTCCAACCCACCTGATATTAAGTATTGGTGAAGTCCAGACGTGAAGATAGCCATCCTCACCTTGCCGGTCCGCATGTTGCTTCTTCACGCCCCTTTTAAAGGATCCCAAGTTGTAAGAATGAGGAGACACGTGAGCAGGCAGAGCATTCTATTTACGGATAATCCGACAAAGAAATTTGTTTGTACTCGTTGGAATACTTGCCATGAATGGGGGTTTTCCATGCAGTGAAATATAAAGTGGGTCGCTCAAAATAAAAAAATAATCAATATATTAACCGTCTCAAGAAATTATCGTAGAAGATAAACATCAAATGAGATCACATAGTAAAGGATACACAGATGACGATAAAATTCGTTCGCTAATTACACTTCGCTATAACAAGACGACGACGCAAATGATAAGGTGCTCATGCGCACACAAAAAGTTCCGCTCTGACATTATCTCCAGACCTTTTTACATACGATTACTATACTTTTTTTCTTTATTAACACCAAGTATTAATTTGTCTGCTGTAATATATGCTACAGTTTACAGTATATATTTAATTAAGGCGGCGCTTATCTGAAATATTTAACAGAGAAGTATGAATGCATGTTTCCTAAAAGGCTCAGCAAATTACTCAGGAATCTTCCAGTCCTGCTACGCTCTAAAACAAAGGTTAACATTGTAGCAGCGCTGTATACTATTTTAATATGTACTGGGTTTGTGTGCGTTTTTTGGATCGACGTAGGTAATGTGTTAAACTGTACCTAACCCAGCCAAGCGCAATTATGTGCGAGACCAAATCGCATTTAGCGGGTATTTTTTTACTCGATAAAACCAACGAGACCATAACACGCTGCCCGTTTAGTAAAAGAGCAAGAACTGCACCCCCCTTTCAAATTATTAAACATCCTATAAAAGCTCGCGGGGCGTGACTTATTTCCGTGCACAACACAATACATTGTATGAGAGTTTAAATTTACTTTTGTTTTTGTATGTGAATTATTGGGAGTTTCGTTTTGACTCTCGCAACGTTTCCGAACGAAGAATGGAAAATTAAAATTTGATTCTTACCCTCGAAACTCAACATTGTATTGTTTTCGAATGGCTTGTTTGTAGTGATTGCAAGCGAAATTGCGCGCGCCACCTCGGTAGGACTTGTTCGTAGCGATAAGCTTGTGGTATTGCTGACTGTTGGAATGTGATTAGAACTACTGATGGGCTGTGTCTAGTACTACTGATTCTCAGTGTTTAGATTTACTGATGCTCAGTGTTTAGAGTTACGAATGCTCTGTATCTAGATTGTAGAGTTACTGGTGGACTATGACTGTGATTTAAACTTGTTTCATTTTGGAATGCAAATAAATTGAATTGTGTCTCTCGAAGTGCCTAGACAAGAGCTACGTATGTAATAGTTCTATGTTAAAACTTTTGATCTGTACCCTAGCACGAACCAATATAGAATAGTTCGCGAGTGCGAAATGTCATTGTCAAATATTTGTATGGAAACTTGAACAGCAGCGCCATAACGGACGTAAAGAGAACTGAAAATCTAATCACTTGCAAACTATTCGAATTCGATATTGGATAGTGCTACGGGTACCTACAGATGATCTGAGAATGTGATGGACGGAGATAAGTATCTTTGTCCGTCAGTGTCTTGTTATAACAAGTTTCTATACAAAGTTACTTTTACAAGATCCCAAAAATTATAGTACTGACACGAACCGCTGATCCATAGTCATGGTCATCCAGGTTTCTTTCCATAATTAGCTTGATAGTCGAAACTCGCAATGTTCAAGTAAGAAAAGGTGATTTTTCTGCTTTGCGAAGTACATGGAACGAAGAGTTAGTGAAGATTGTCAGAGCTCCACGTTAAGTATGAGTAGCATATTTACCATAAGATGGTGGTTTTGTTTGTTTCGCTTTCTATAAAACTTTAAATATAGCATAAATAAATCCTTTTTTATTGAAAACTTATCAAAAATAATTTTACTATTTCTGTACTTATAAAACTGTGTAAATGTACTCATCAAAAAAGTCTAAACAATGCTACAGTAACATATTTATACGAGTACTATCTATATATATAAAACTCAAAGGTGACTGACTGACATAGTGATCTATCAACGCACAGCCCAAACCACTGGACGGATCGGGCTGAAATTTGGCATGAAGGTAGATGTTATGACGTAGGCATTCGCTAAGAAAGGATTTTGATTAATTCCACCCCCAAGGGG